ATATATATATATATATATATATATATATATACGCCGACGTACACATAAATATGTATTTATACCTATGATACACGTATTTTTATACAGTACATTCCTTAGTTCCTCAAATTCTAACCTTCACGGTTAAGACCCGCCCTGCCACGCCCATTGTAGCGAACAACCCTCAATACCTTGGTATCCCATTGGTGAGATGTAAGTTCTACGTGACCAGCTTTTTCCCACGAAGCGCTGGTTTGTGGAATTGCTTCCCCAGAGGAGGCTTCCGTGATCACTACAATCTTATTCTGTTCAAGTCTATTGTTGACCGTTATTTTCTCCACATATCCGCATAAACTGTACCTCTTACTTTGCAACAGACTCTATCTAGAGTGGCTCTTGGGCTTTTTAGCGTATTATAGTGGGTTACAGTAAAGAATGAATTACATACGCACAGGTTTCAAAATAAGGTCTGTTTCAACATTGCTAAGATAATATATTAATATAGGAATTTCCGAATGTTAGGTGTGGCACATGCCCGAAATTTTGGAGCACCCAGCGAGGATCGAATTCACTACTCAGTCTTAGATGATCTACCGAGACAAGCTTGTTAAACATTATACCACGTCGAAGTTCCCTGGATTATAATATTGTAAGTTATTAAGTGTAGCTTAGATGTGGCACAAGGCTGAAAGAATGGAGCCCCTAGTGAGGATCAAATTCACTATGCACTCATAACTGATCTAGCGAGATAAGAATGTTATCCGTCACACCACCTTGAAGTGCCCAGATCCCATAATAATAGATTGTTTGTCCTCCTTGGGCGTTATGCCAGACAGCGAGGACTAGCCTACAATATGGTATTTATTAATTTCACGATTTAAATAGTTAGTTGTAACCATATGATGATAGTTTGCTTTTCTATATCGTGTCCTCTCGGGGAGTAGGCGGTTACTGCTCTCCACAATTTCCTGTCCTTTGTAGCTCTTAATATTTTTTTTCTTTTCGTTATTTCTCCTAAACCCCTTTTCCGCCATGCATTTTCTTAAACTCATCAAGTACGTTACGCGAAGTTTCCTTCTGTCCCTTTTGCCCTCAATCGGTCCTGTGAGTATCAGATTTTCCACACCCTTTTTCCTTATTATGTTTTCTCAGAAATTTCACCTGTCTTTAACTGATGTTAAGTAAAAGTTCCTTTTTTTTGTTTCCACATATCTGATGCTTCAAGTCTCTTCTTCATATCTGAGGAGATCGTCCAGCATTCACTGCTATATACAAGGACTGATATCGCGTAACATTTCACTATTGTTTTCTTTGCTCCTAACGAAATTTTTCTGTTTCTTAATAGTCTGCTTACCTTTTAGAAGGTATCTTTGGTCATCTCAATGCGCCTTTCGATTTCAATGTCGCACTTATATCCTCTATTAGAAACACTCCCCAGATATTTAAACTGCTGTACTTATTTGACTTTGTAGAATATCAGATTTTCCAAGCCATCTTTCTCATTATGTGCTCCAATAATTCAACTATCTCTTTCCGATGTTAAGTATAAGTTTCATTTTTCTCTACATTTTCTCTAAAACCTCGTCGCTGCTTCCATGTTTGGTCCATGGTATCCTAAGCATCCTTCTATAAAACAGCATTTCTGTTGCTTCAAGTCTCTTCTTAATCTTCGAGGAGATTGTTCAGAATTCACTGAATATAAGAGTACAGATATCACGTAAGAGTTCAGTACTCTCTTCTTTGTTTCTATCGATTGTGACGTCGTCCCCGGTCGCCGTCGGTCGCGAGCGTCGACTCACGTGTCCCCAGGTTCGATCCTGTTCACGGCACCATTTAGACGTCGTCCCCGGTCGCAGCGTCGACTGTGTCGTTCGATCCCGTTCGCGGCGCTAATTGTGACGTCACGTGCTCCCCAGGCTCTGATATCCTGGTCACGGACAGCACCAGTTGTGACGTCTTTTGTCGCGGCGTCAGCTGTTCGCTCCTCGCTGCTCCAAACGTGACGTTCTAACCCTTTGGTTAGATTGATACCAGCCTCGTCGTTCCCAACCTGCTTCCAACGCCTGGTTACCAGGGTAACTGCACTGATCTCCGGTCTGCCTACCCACGTTGTGACTTGATCTTAGACAGACGAGATCAACAGGGCTTGGGGCCGTAATGCAAGTTGAGTCTAACGGGGGTGATATCACACAATTATGTATAATAAAAAAATAAAATAACAACTCACAAGGTCCAACGTATCAAGAAAAAGGTAACAAACTTTTATGTCTATTTGCTCGGTACATAGGACTATGTCTACCTCCCGACCCGTTCTGTGGATTGTGGCACAACGCTTTTACTAGGCAACTTTAAGGCTTCCAGTTGTCTGCTCTCTTAGAAATTTGCGTTTCGGTGTGTCTTTGGACGAAAGTCGAAAAAAAAACTTATTTCTTGTGGTCTGATTCTAAGTCGCTCTTCAAACTACTTGTTCTTGGTTGAAGAAGAGTCTAGAAGTGTGCGTGAATCTTGGTTAGCTATCTTGATGCGGTTTCAACACTGGGCGCTGATCTCTGCTTGTCGTTCACGGCTGATCTCTCTCGCCGTCCGCGGCGCAAACTCTGCCTGTCGTTCACGGCTGATCTCTCTCGCCGTCAGTGCGTCCGCGGCGCAACTCTCTCGCCGTCAGTGCGTCCGCGGCGCAACTCTCTCTCGCCGTCCGCGGCGCAACTCTGATTTCTGTCGGTTGGGGTCCCACTTTTATTGACGCAGTCAAAAACTGGGGTGGGTCTGTCGGCGCCAGGGTTTTCTTGATAATTCTAAATACGTATCCACCCTTCTTATTTCTGGTTAGGGATTTTCCATTTTCGGTAATTCACTTTCACTCCTACTTCCTTATTGTGTCTCTGAGGGCGTATACCCGCTTCTTCTTATCGGCTCCTCACACTTACACCTCTGACAAGGGCGTCGACCGATTCTCCTCGTGCGTCACGTGACCGCTCTCGGCCAATGAGGTCCTGGTCGGGTATTTTTCCTCCTCCTTCGTGCGCCACGTGATCCCATCTAGCCAATGGCGTCTTTAGTCGGGCGTGGACAATCCGTGGCTTTGTTCTGGGGGAAGAAACACCTTGCTTAAAAAAAATAAAAATTCAAATTGCCCTTATCGTACGTGACCGAAATGACGCTCTCGGCTTTTTTTTTAACACGCGGTATTTGTCAGTTTATCGCTAATTGGATACGATCTAAGAAAGGGATTTCTCAGACTGGGTGGCGTTTTCGTGAACTAATAAAAATATTTCACTTTTTCTTTCGCTCGAAGCTTGATAACAAAAATCTTAATTATCTCAAAAAACATTTTCAGCCAACATCATCTTGTGTGGCTTTATTTTCAATTCTGGAATTGTCTGGGTTTTCGTATTAATGGTTTGCCTGCATATCCTTAGATAAACTTCCCACATGTTACCTATCATATTTTTTTTTCCATTGTCTCTAAACTTTATTTCTTCAACCAAATTGATAACAAACTTCCATTTTTCGTGGACACGGAAGTAGGTCAGGTGCTTGACCTGGATATCTTCCAACATCTGTTATGTATCAATCGTGCGTGTGTGTGCTCGCCTATGACCTGGTTTTCGTATTATTTTTTTTCTTTCTTTTTCTTCTTCTTCTCTTTCTTTCTCCCAGATCGCTTGAACGCAATTAAAGAATTATTCTCAAAACCCAAATATTTTTCAGCTCTAAATAATTATCAAATGGTTGACAAACCGTAAAAAACAAATCATATATTTATGAATATTTCCTCTCAGCCTGCCAACTTATGCATGGTGCCACAGATGTCTGTCTCTTAATACTTTTCTTAGCTTTTGGAATGCATCTTTGGCTATCACAATGCAGCTTCGTCCTCTGTTAAAACACTTTCTAGATATTTAAATTTCTGTACTTCTTTGATTTTGCATGTTATGCGTTGTTTATTTCTGCTCCTCTTATCCTCAGTCAGCGCTGTGAGTATCATATTTTCCAGACCATGTTTCCTTATAATATGTCTTAGAAATTTCAACTGTCTTTTCCGGATGTTAAGTATACGTTTCCTTTTTGTCTCCATTTTCTCTAAAACTTTCTTTTTTTTTTTTGTACTTGTTTGATTTTGGTATTCCCAATTTGTAATTTGCATTTGTTTTGGATTCCGGGATGATATCCGGTACCAATAAATAACAAACGCCAAGAAGGAATATAGGAAAATAAATGTATTAATGTAATAATACAAACTGGTAATGCAGGTTAGTAGTTCCAGGAATGCGGGTTAGTAGCAAAATATATATATATAGTCTTTGGTATCGACGTATCACTGTATGACTTCTTACTGAGTCTACGTGCTTGCTCACTGTGACTCTTGCACGTTACGTCCGTGCTCGTTCGTCACACTTTCTCGTTCTTCTATCGGGTATTCCCTAGCAGTAGTATATGCATACCCTGGGTGAGTCCATTTGTGTAAAAAGGGGAGAAACCCTCAACAGCATTTTGGGTTGTTCCCTTTTGCTTACAACCATACATTCTGTCTTCAGTTTATGTTTAGTCTTTTTAAATGCGATGCCAGTCGTCATCCTAGCGGCTATTATTTCCATATTTGAGGGTAAACGATTAAAACAAATACGCATGTAAAATGTTGTAAAGTGTCCTTGTCATATTTGAATGTGTTAAGTCATCTTAGAACCCAGTTAAAATGATACGGCCCCACAAGTTCTCCGAACACTTAATTCCCATTGCGTAGCACCCGCCAAGGAGGCGTTAATGTGTTTATTATACAAATTATTTGGACTAATATCGTCTCACGTTGTTATCTTCGGTGTGTTAATACTATGTTCATTTTAACAGTCAATGCTTCGGTTGTTTTAGCTCCGGCCTTCTTCAGGAGATGAAGATATTAGTTCCAATGTAAATAATAAAAATAATGATAACCCCGTATCTGACAATTCCAAAAAAAAAAAAAAAAATTCTGCTACTTCGAATGAAGCCTGTTCTCCTAACCAAGCATAAAATGTTCGCGTCGCAAGAACAACACCGTGCGATAGATAAATTGTCGTGTAAGTCACGCAAATTTAAAAAAAAACAAAAAAAAAAACAATGACATCACATGATCATTTTAACAAATATATTTACCAAAATTACACAAAAATATATTGAAATACTGAAGAGTAAATATATTCAATAAAATTGCCATTGGCTTCAAACACGACCTCCAGACGACTTCGGAATATTCTGCAACTCTGCTAGATGGTCTCCCTGAAAAATCTGGTGAATGCTTCCATAATTATTTCCTTCAGTTCATCTATGGTATTAGAAGGAGTTTTGATGGTCTCTCGTTCATCTATTCCCCACACATAATAATCACGAGGATTGCAATCTGGAGAGATAGATGACTAGATGTAAGGCGTGATGTGGTTGCAGAAATTGTCTGATAGTGATGACTGGGTTCTCCTGCTTGTGTGACATGGTGCAGTGTCCTATTTCCAGACATAGGGTCTGCCAGCAGCGACTCTCTTGAACCTAGGCAGCACTGTCTCCACAAAGCACTTGATGTACGTCTCCGCGTTGAGTCTGTGACTCTGTGGGAACATTGAATGGAGGCAAAACATCACCATCACTAGTGATCACTCCAAACACTGTGATGTGGATATCATGATGTGGATATCATGATGTGGATATCATGATGTGGATATCATGATGTGGATATCATGATGTGGATATCATCCAGTTCTTTTGGAATCCACTGCAGTATCTTCAGATTGACAGCCAAACATTTTGAAATTTTCGTACTGGTGCTTCCCTCGCGAATGCCATTTCCAAATTTCTGGAGGAGTGAATTGCGTCATTATGCTCTTTTTCTTACAGATGGTACCCAACTGACCTCACTGTGCTGTGCAAGCAACAAAATCAAAAACAAACAAAGCGCATGCGCGAAATTAAAAATATAAAATGGCGACAATTAACTCATTGTTTCTACGTAGCAAATTGCACAGGTTGAAAAAATAGTAGATTATTTTATGTTTTCATATTTATTTTATTTTATTTTATTTTATTTTTTGCGCTGTTGATATTTTGTACCTGAGAGTAGCGTTACGTTTACGCGCGTGGAAATCTGAGTCAGCGCAGAATGGGATCTCTAGCCTTGGAGAGCAACTAGTCCAGGAGACGCAAACCCCTTATTTCAAAACCGTGGACAAGTCAGTATGAATTCACTTTACTAATTTTCCCCAAAACCCGTGTCAATTCATAAAAAAAATAGAGAAAACCTGAAAGACCGCTTTCTGCCTACCATCAGCATGGCTGATGCTAACCTACAAGACAGTGACGCGTAGCGCCATCTCTGACTAACACTCTCAGATGAGATTAAATGGAAAGATTATATTTAATCCATTGTTATATTTGCTGTTTAGCTGGTTGGTTCACTGTGTTGTATTAGACAATTTTTCTTTCCAGAATCTATCTTACATATCTATAAGTCTATCATTCGTCCATACTTAAAATATTGCTACTACATCGTGTCTGGTGACCCTGCTATATATTTAGTGATTCTTGAGAAAATCCAAAGAAGAATCAGCAATATTATTGGTGCTGACCTGGCGTCTCGGATTCAGTCCCTTTCTCACCACCGCAAAATTGCTTCCCTGTGCCTTTTTCTATAAATATATTCATGGTAATTATTCTGATGATCTATCCGCTATGGTACCTAGACATTTTTTAATTTAAGCGCAGTACTAGATTGGCAGCAAGGTCTCGTCAATTTAGAGTTGAATATGGTAACAGTTTCTCTTCTCGCACTTCTACCGGCTCCATTCTTTCTAGTCAAGTTTGATCTTCAACATTTTAAATGAAATGTCAATCGTTATTTGCTGACTTCTTCATTACTCTTCTAATATTCTCGCTCCTTAATAATGTTTCTGTTTTCTAATTCTTTCACACCCAGTAACTCTTTGTGTCTTTTTGTTTCTTCACTGCTTTGCTTGGTGTAAATTCGATTTTTAAAAATTGTGATGGTTAGCGAAAACTTAAATCCACATGTCACACGTATTTCTGTGGCCAAAAATAGACATTACGTAGAACCAAGGCGGATCGTAACCAGGAGCGTATAAAAACGAGCAACAACCTCTCTCTCTCTCTCTCTCCGGACATTTGTCATGAGCCTTGACCCCTTTTTTTATCGGTTTGTCACTAGAAATACGCCGCGTTAACATTTCCCAAAATGCAGCCTTCACAACTCGGACATAGTCCGGAAAAATCGCATACAATTTTTTATTTCATTTACAAAGATTTTATACACGAAACACACGTATAGATCTCTTATTTTTTGCTTGTTAGGAATGCATTTCTGTGTAACTGACGCTGAATTGTTAGGTCTTATTTGCGTTTCAAATCCGCTTTTTACAATTACCAAGATTATTGGGACCTTAGACAGAAACAATATTTCAGGTAGCTTTGTTCGAATGTATTTTAGGGAGTTACATTTAAAAAGGTTTAGAAAAGGATAAAACCCGGAACAGAAGAGGATACCCTATGTTTTGATGGAATACGGAATTAAAAAAATATTCTACGAGACTGCATTAGTGTGTGCGAGGTTAAATATCTACATTATCGCTTTACGGATGACAGGTTGCACACCACCTGATTGTTTTAGCTCAAACAAACACTGTAGATATGGAAATGTTTAAAACATATTCAAACAGTTATACCATTTGTGCTAGAGTTGT